GAGAAAAGGAACATGATCCAGGAATACAGTGGAAGAGTGGCTGGGGTCTCTTCTAGAAAGGAAGCCTCTTAGGAGAGGCTGTCTGAGCAGGGATCTTGGCGATGTGATGGGAGTAAGTTTGGCTTAAACCAAATGTGACTGCAGGATAACCAAGGGCTTAGAGGTGAGGGCTAGGGGGCTGTGGCATGGTCTAATTTATCTTTTCATGAGATCCCTGTTGGTTGCATGGAAGATGCTATGTGGGAGGGAGAAGTGGAAAGGGGCTGTGGAGGAAGGAAGACCAGCATTTCCCTGGCTTAGAGGAAAGATGACTGTGTTAGCTGATATCTTCCTAGAAGAGCCACCAAGGCAGGATTAGGCCCGCCAGGATTTTGTTGGAGGAGGAAGGGAGGGAGGGAGAGAGGTTAAGTTAGGGAAAGTGTCCAAAGCTGCTTTGCAGTCAGAGGACATTTCAGCAAGGGCATCGTAGAGTCCCAGGTGTCGCGGGAAGAGGCCTGTCCTTGGCTGGGAGAAGTCCTTGAAACGCGGCCTCCCTGTATTTGCAGGGATGGATTTCAGAGCTCAGCAGTGGGGCCCTTGTTCTGCCACATCCCCTGCAGTGGGAAAGCTAACAGGTGCTTTTTCTGGTTCCCTAATGTCGGGAATTGGAACAGAGCACTAGAGGAGAGGAAGTGAGAAGCTGTCAGAGTTTGGATCTATTTTGAAGGGAGATCCAATGAGACTATGATGAAAATGTGTGTCCAAGTGAAGGAGAAGTGTCAAAAATGACTTCTGGCTTTTGACCTGATTGTCTGGATGGTGTTGACATTAATGATGTAGGAGCCCCAGAGGAGACTGAACTGAGCACATGCTAATGTTGAGATTTCTGTTCATCATCGCGAAGGATTCTCTAACTTGTGATTAATGCTCACTTTGGGTTTCCTTTCCCTTCCTACAACAAGACTTAGGGAACTTCTTTAAATTATGTCAGAAGCAGGGAAAGAAAAGAGTAATCAGCAACAAATATATTAAAACATATCAAGAGGATGCGGTTGTCTATATGTTCCAGTGCTCAGTGGCATGTGGAATTCAGTGTTTACCAATAGCAGGGGGACCAGTTTATTTACCTTGATTGATGATCTGGGTGGTATGCCCTTTGCTCTAAGTTTTTCCAATCCTATGAACTTAAAATTAATCCCAGTTCTTGAATTACTGTTTAAAGCTTTATGATGGTTTGGGGAAATGTAGAGGGAAAAGATGGTGCAGTTTGACTGTAGGCTGTGCAGGGATTATAAGGGTCTGGATTTAAGGAAAGCCCAGAAGGTTTGCTTACTATACAGTGGTCGAACTACGCAATGATTTTAGGTTCCTGTATTAGAGAATTACCAGCAGGACAACATCATGACTTCTTCACATTTACTTCACCTGGAATAATATTTATTTTATATTTCCAAGGAACTTGGGTTAATTATTTTTTTTTTAAATAATCGAGCCATTCTTCAAGTGATTGCGTTTTAAACACCAACTTGGCTTGTGAATTGAATCTCACATGCTTAACCCAACAAATATTGTTTATTGATTGCTTCCCACCTGCCAAGTCCCTTCAGGTGCTCAGGAAACTAGGGAGAGTGAGTCCCTGGCCCCAGAGGTTCACAGTTAGAGGAAAGTATCATTGACTCTGTTAAATACTCCAACCCCAATACAGTGTGGTGAAGGCTCTGGTGCCAGTGTTTGCAGGGTTCCAAGAAAATACAGAGGCAGAAGACATTATTCTGAAAGAAATAGGTGTTTGAGTCTGCACGGAGTTGGTGTTTGTGAGGCAGAGGAAATCGGAGCAGGGCAGAAGCATCTAGAATGAAAACCAGTCCAGGCAGATGGACAGACGCAGGGCATGTACAGGCAGCCCTGCTGTCCTGATGATTGGAGAGCACTCAGCCCAGGAGGGAGGTGAAGTTGGAATCATGTTGTATACTTTGTCAAGGAATTTGGGGTTTGTCCTGGGGATAATGGGAGCAGGTGAAAGATTGCAAGCTGAAAAAAGGCCATGAAAAGTTTCTGTTTCAGAAAGATCGCCATGGTAGCGATAGTGAGGATTGGGAGATAAGGGGTAGCCTGAGTGTAGAACACAGAGCCAGGATCATGACTGTTGGGATCACCCAGGTGACGTGCAAGAGCTGAGCCAGGACTGGAACCCTGAGAGCAGGGGTGAAGTCTGCAGGCACAGGATGGGTCAACAGGCAATTCCTGGAGTTGGGATTGGTGAATGAGTTCTGAGTCATACAACAGGGGACGAATAATGAGATAATTTTGAGGTTTCTAGTTTCCACTTAGGGGGACAGGCCCAAGTTCCTCCTATATAACAAGGAGACAAAGAGGCCTACCTTACACATTTTGCTGAACAGATGGTGATGCTGTTTAATAGAATTAAAACCATAGGAGAGGGCAGATGTTTGGCCTAGCAGTTAAGATGCCTGCATCCCATATCAGAGTGCCTGGTTTTGATTCCTGGCTCTGGCTCCCAATTCCGGCTCACCACCATTGCAGACTCCAGGAGGTGGTAGGTGATGGCCCAGATAGTTGGGTCACTGCCACCTGTGTGGCACCCATGTGGGAGACTTGGATCAAGTTTCCATGTCCTGGTTGTAACCCCAACCAGTCTGGTCCTGGCCATTGTGGGCATCAGGGGGAGTGAACCAGAGGATGGTGGCTCTGTTTCTGTTTCTCTGTCTCCTTGCCTCTCAAGTCAATAAATTAAAAATATTTTTAAAATACAGAATGGAAGGCAAGTTTGGGATCATAGACAGTGAGTCTCTGAGAAAGTAACATTTATTACACAAACATTGTGTGTTTTGCAGTGTATGCCAGTTTGTGTCCTTTAGAGTTTGCAACAGTCCTGTGAGGGAAAGCAGAACATACCAAGACTGAGAGGGGAAGCACTTGGCTAAGAGCACATAAAGGAGTTGGGATTTGAACCTGAGCTGAAGTGAAATTCTGATTCCAGACCCTGGGCCCAGTCAGCTGCTCAGCAGCCTCCCAGATCTCTCTCTCTGTTTATATACCCATGTGCTAGCATGCACTGAAAACCAAAGCTTCACAAAATGTGCTTTATGCTGTGTGATAACTCTGATTGCTCCTATTCTGTTTGTTGAAAAAAAGTTACTGAGTACAGCCTATTAAGCTGAGTATGTGAACGTCTCCTGGGTCATGACCCATGATTTGAGAAACATAGGCATAGAACTAGAACAATAGGAAAATAATTTCTGCAGCTTCCATCATTGGTGGCTCTGCATGGCTTTGCTGATGATTTCCAAAGGATTATTTTTAACTATGATTGTCCAGGAAAGATCCTGCCCCTCCAGCTCCTCTGCGGGTTAAAGCCACTTGACCCTTGGCCTCTTTTCAGGCTGAGGAAAGGGGAATGGAAGAGGTGGTTGTCACAGATGACCTGGGCAAGTGGTGTCCTTGCTAGTCCAAGTTCTTTCACTAATCCCCCCTTCTATAAATTGCAGTATGTAGCTAATCCTCCCATGGCTGTTTGTGGGTCAGCCTTCCCACATGGCCCGGACAGAACTTGTCTTTGCAAGTTTGCACCTGTAGCATCTAGCACAGCACCTGGAACCCAGTGGGGACTCAGTGTGTGCCGGGGGTAGCAGGAGTCACCCACTGGGTTGGCCTGCCATCTCTTCAGTGCGTCCTGTGTCTCTCCAAGCTGACAGCCAGATGGTCAGCATCTGGCAGCTTGCAAGGACAGGACTAACCGAGATCTGTTCTGTTGTTACTGGGCCTGTAGGTTTTACACGGAAAGGATTGTTCACAGAATTTGAGACTGCAGTCTAACTGTCCTGCTGTTCTAACTACAGGCTGGGACATTGAATATGAGAAATGTGCTGAAGGGACAACATGGAAACTATGTAAAATTTGAGGTGCATGGGACCTTGTGAAAGGGTTTCAATGTAGAATATGGTTAATAAATCCTAGTGCCTCTGAAGTTATTACTAGCAGAAGGAAAAAATATAGACTTTTAATACCTTATAATAATTGCTCCCAAAGTATATATCTCTTAGCCAGGAAAAGATTAAGGATTTGGGCAGAAAATACACACACACACATACACATACAGCGCACACATAAACATAAGTATGTATACCACATAGATGTAGATGTATTATCCTCACAAAGAAAAAAGCTGAGAACTATCATTTGTAAGACCTTTTGTTAATTAAAGTATTTTTTTTTTAAGTTCAGAATGAGGGTGAAAAAAATGTTTCATGGAGAAGTTGGGTGCATTTCTGAAACACAATGACTCAAGTAAATGTGATTAAAAGAATTTAAGTTCTGCTTCAATACTTGCATACTTCTCTTTTATTTAAAAGAAAAAAAAGTATTCTTACCTGAAGTTTGAAGGTAAGCACATATAACACCCAATGCAGCACAAGAAAAAACAAGTTTAGCTTGCAACTTGAGAAATTTAAGATAGTTATAGGAATGCATTTTTTGCTAAAACACATTGCAAAATCAACACAGGCAAATGAGAATCTTATTTCTATTCAGCTGAGAGAAGATTAGAACAGGTTCCTTGCTAATAGGGGCTGGGGGTTGTGGGTTCCTGCTGGGCACAGACAATAGGCCAGGTGACCTATCAGGCCCCTGCCCAACCCTAAAATCAGCTTCATACCTCCCCTTTCCCACAAGTCTTCCCAAATAGTAGCGGGGATTCCTGGGACAAGAAAGTTTCGCCACTGTAAGAACCATCAGCATGCTGACAGGTACTTAAGATGACTGCAACTGTGTTTTGTAAGAGTTCGTTTCAAGTGAGAGCCACTTCGTCAGTTCCCATTGGTTCCTTTTCATGGTTTCACTTTCTGTAAGGTGGACTCACACAAAATGACCATTTATGGGGTCACAAAGGTCAATTATCTGAAATTTCATATAAATGAACTGATAGATCAAAATATAACATAACTTCTTATGTGTTTTGCATTTTGCTTGGATTATTGTGTGTGTGTGTGTTTTTTTTCCAGCCATTGGGAGCAGCAGCTTCAGCCCAAGACCAACTCCCCAGTTCTCTCCACCACAGATCTATCCGTCCAAGTAAGATACGTTTTCTCTCGGTAAATAGCTTTCCTCAGTAGACTCACACCTTATATCAGGTCATGTCTGTGCCCACTTGCAACATCTTGATTTAAATGAAAGTGCATTGCATAGATTCGCATAGATTTACACAAATGTATTCTGAGCATCATCAAGTAGAAACCTTGAAGTAGTCCAGCGTTTTGTCTATTGTGTTTGGAAGTTTTACTTTAAGATACGATCTTTAACTGGAATTTGTGATGTGGTTGTTAATTGGTGACCTTGCATGTTTCCATCTAATGCATGGGCTTTCTATTTTCTGTCATTTCTGACAAATAGCAGACCATACCCACATATTCTCCCTACCCCTTCCTCACAAACTATGGCTGCATATGGGCAAACACAGTTTACCACAGGAATGCAACAAGCTACAGCCTACGCCACATACCCACAGCCAGGACAGCCGTACGGAATTTCCTCATATGGTGAGTCATCCCGTGTTGGAAGAGCGCTGTTATCTAGTGCGCATGCGTGTTTTTGAGTGGCGCTTGAAGACTGTCAACCTCGATGGGCCAGAGAAAGTGTCGTCACCTGTTGTGTCTGCTTCTAATGAGCATTGTGAGAATGGCGGCTCCTTGTGTTGGGGTGAGAGCCGTGTGAGCAGGTTGCGTGGTTTATGTGCCCTCTTGCTCTCAGTTTTCTCCATCCATATCTCAACTCTGAATTTGCCATTTGAGTGGTTGGCTCTGGAATTCAAAGCATTTCTGTGCTTATTTGTGATAAAACTTCTGCCATTGAAGTCTTTGGGGGTACAGATCCATTTCCTATTTATCAGATGCCCAGCTATGATTGGGGAAGTACAAGTGGAATTCAACAAACTTTTGCTCTAAACTTGAGGGTGGTAGTGTTATCGAATTTCACCATTATCAGCCATTAGGAAAAGTGATCTACATACCAGCGCCTGGCCTGGCTGCTCTGAAAAGGCCCAATCAGGAAACATTTAAGGCTCCTTTCACCATTTGTTTCTTCCCACCTGGAGATTATCTTTATCTTGGTGTCATTTAACTCACTCCTTTACAGGGTCAATACCTGTAAATTAAACAGAAAGCCAGCAAAATCCCCACGTTTAATCACAGAGGCCTTAGAATTTCCTAAGTTTTCATCAGTTGAATGGCAATTGCAGTTTTAAACAGATTGAACTAAAAGAAACACATGAATTATTGGCATTTATAAAGAACAAAATAAAACAAATGATCAGTAAACATTATGTGGACCTTTAGAAGGAAGGGACTGGTTGAGTGTGTAATTCTGTGTCTGTTGTACAGGATTAACTGTAATGAGTATTCTATTTCTGTTGGTATTGTTTTATACTACCCTTTCCTACCATAATAAATTCTGCAGAAAAAAATTAAGACCCATTAAGCATTTTGTTAACAATTAGAAGGCAAGTAATTTTATTCTTTTTAATTCTCTTTGACCCCCAAATAAAACTGATTATGTATAGACTTCTTATAAAATCAATAGAAATAAAAATCTAAATTATGTATAACTTCAGGTTTTCTGGTTTTATTCCAAAATTATCAGAACTGAAGATTACTTAGTTAGGTGTTCTCAAAGTAGACTTCAGAAACAGCCTCAAGATGGACTTCCTAAAATTACCTCTCATTTCTATCACTTTCATTCATAGTATCTATAATAGTATTATTTGCAAGTCACATTTATCTGTCATTTGCTTTTAAGCTATTCTTGGGATAAAAGAGGGAAAAGAATCTGTGATTGAATTGCACAACTTCCATCCTGTCAAGACAGTCCCCAGTTTACATTCTGAGTGTGTCTGTAAGGTGATTATTTGAAGTGTACAAGTCTTTCCCAGTACACACGGTCCCTAAGTACTGTCAGCCTATGGAAGCTGGCACGGGAGGGGCCACCCCTGTCAGTGCCTTGGCTGCCAGCCACACACCTCCTGTCTTCTGCTTGTTTTCGCTCCCCCTTTCAGCTGTGGTGGGGCCTGGGTTCCCTCCTTTGCCAATTTCTGAGCTGTGAAGTAGAGACTTCCTGATCCAAGCATTCATGAATGTTCTTGTTGTCTGAAATAGCTGTTCCAGGAGGATGGGATGAGTGGAGGGTCTGAGAATAGAATCAGACCTAACAGAGAGAGGATGGGGATTTTAATACGAGAGGTTGGGATTGGGAAGGTGGTGATGGTGAGGTCAGGGTAAGGGTGTGGGCTCCAGAGCTTTCCGTGCTAGTTAGTCTCCTGGGAATAACTCTCAGTCCTTAGCACTTTCCTGATGATTCGCTTTCTTCTTTTTCTGGGCTCTGAGTATAAGAGCCACACTCAGTGCTGTGGCTCACAAGCTTCATTTTTCTGGGGTCAGTGTATTGAACATGTGGCAGCCTTCTCTTCCTTTGCTTATTCATGAAGGGAGAGCAAGTAGTTTAACATGTTCACTCACTGCTGATAGTCCAGGCCCAGATTATTTTAGCAGATTTCCCCCAAGGAATTGTGCCCCAGACATTTTCCTTGGGCCCTGTAAAAAAAGGTAGGCATATCTTTTTATAGAGAAAATGACAAATCAGTCAGGAAGAACATTCATTCTATTCCTTGCTGGGTCTGCTTGGAGTCCATTCAGTGAAATGAGTTTGTCACCTGTGGGTAGAAGCCGTAGACACCAGTGTGGCTACGGGGGTTTTCTATCTCTTCCTACTTGGCTTTATGTGTTCTTATCACAAAGGTTCACTTTCTGAACCTCCAGGGTAAAAACAGATGGTACAGGGGAAAGCTGGGAGCAGATCAGTATAGCCTCAAGTGGAAAGAGAAGGGGGAAAATCCCCTGGGTGACAGCATGGAAAGAAAGGGAGTTTCTGGAGCCATCAAACCAGCTGTCTTGGGTAGATGTGTTCCTGGGGACAGTTTGTATGCATGGGTAACTCACTGGTTTGCAATTGCCTGTATAAGGAAAACCATATTTTTTTTTAAAAAAAAGGTTGTATTCAGACTTGAGTGTTAAGGTCATCATGAACTTGCTTAGAGATTCCCTAGCACTTAGAGTAGACTCTCTTAGCCAAGAGTCAGATTCTTCCTAACTTCATGCTAGTGATGAAGTTCCCCTAAAATGGAAATACAGAGTGAGCCTACTGTGTATTCAAGATCCTAACGATATCATTTATCTCAAGTGCAAAGCAAAATTATTAAAGTCTGACTTCCCTTGGCAGAAGTTTGCTCTCGGTCCTCTGTGGGAATTCAGGAGAGTTGTAAACTTTCATGACTGTCTTCAATTATGATCCAGAGTTGAGCCCTGGGCCCGGGTGCTGACAAATGCATGTCCTGAGCTCAGGAGGTCAGCCTGGTGCTTGGGGAGGCATTTGGGGGCCACAGGTCATTTTTTCTGTTACCATATGATAAGAACAAAGTGTGTGCTCTAGAGGACATTCTGAACAATTGCATGTGAGTATTTAAACTAAAAGGGATAAGAAGACCATTTACTTGTTTACAAGTCACTATGCTGGTTTACAGGATTCAGTTCTTCAGTTTCTGCTTACTTTCTGGTAGGATCTAGATATTCAGGAGGTTTCCTCGTTAGTTGCTTAGTTCCGGGCCCAGTATTGTTTACTCCGACTTCAAAATGCATTGTGTGTGCAAACCAGCTTTGTGGGAGAAAGAATAAGGGAGAAAGAGAAAGAATGCTATAAGCCTACAGGCTCTAATCAGTCTTTGGAAAAATATGATTTTGATTTTGACACTAGTCAGCACAGCAGCTTTGGAAGAGTTTAGCTAACATTTAATTATGGCCATGTCTTGGCTTCGAAGATCTTCAACTCTTGCAACAGAACAAAAGGAAATATAGAAATGCTGTATGCCAGTGGAGTTCTATTTTATAGAAAGTTAGATGCAGAAAATCAAGAGAAAAATGTGAACAGGCATTCAAATCTGTAATGATCTGGGTAGTTTTAAAAATTGAACTTGTACTTTATAATATTTCATTAAGCATATTAACCCGTTATTAGTGAGATGAGATTGGGAAGCATTTGTGATGAAACAGTTGTGAGAGCACATGTTTTTGTCTATTTACCAGCTTCTGGAAATGAACAGATAGATAAGCTGTCACTAACTGATTTAGGTGCATTGTGGGCAGGCATCAAGACTGAAGGTGGATTGTCCCAGTCTCAGTCGCCCGGACAGACGGGATTTCTCAGCTATGGCACGAGCTTCGGTACCCCTCAACCTGGACAGGCACCATACAGCTACCAGATGCAAGGTGTGTATACCTCCTGACATTGCTAGTTTCCTGCAGTCTATAGGCTGACAGTTAATTTTTAAAGTACATTCTGCTGTTCTGTGAGCTAGCGGATGATGAAGACTACTGATCTGGGCTTAGAGGCACCTGCCCCCTTCTCATTTGCTTTTCTCGTACCTACTCTGTGGCCTAAATGTTCATATTTATGGCATTAAAAGCTTAGACTTAAATGTCTGTGAGGTTGTTTTCAAAAAGGTCTACATTTTTTTTTTTGTGAAACTGAAGTTTTGTGTTTTTCATTAATAAAAAATGAAAAAGGCAACCCCAGAAAAGGTTCTGATGTGGCTGAACACTGAACACTGCTGCACGTGGCATTAACAAGCAATCTTCTAACAGGACTATAGTTTCTTCCTTTTTATTATGGGGTAGAGGTTGGAGCAGGGCAATCTAGAAATAGAGCATGTGATGCGTGTTGACTTCCTGCTCTACCAAATACTAGTAGATCAAATTCACAGCCACCCAGTGATCCTCAAGAAAATGCCTCCCAGATCCATTCCATTGTTTTTGAAGTTACAGACAAAACAGTATTAAGTGGAAGTCGAATGGAATGACAACTGAAAATTCACACTGTCAAAACTGTTTTCAAGAATACAGAGACATTACTTGTAATTAGCACGTTGTTGCCACGTGAATGTGTGTGTGGAGTGCTTGAGAATCATTCTCACATAATTTAAACACTCCTAATATCTTTTTTTTTAAACTACAAATCAGTGTAATGATTCTATTCAGCTTTTTAATAAAGTTATGTCATAATTTCATTAGAGCCCTGATTACCACTTTTTGATTAAAGGGGTTCCTTTTCTGTTTTTTATCTTCTCATTTCTTTCATCTTGTTTGTCATTTAATTAATACTGTATTCATTGCAGGTAAATTGGAGAATGTAGAGAAGTAAAACTAATTATGATCATATATCCTATACAAGTATTATCATCATTTTGACATATCATCTAGATGTACAGTTTGGGTTTGTACCATATGATATAGCAGTACCTGCAACTTTCAGTAACAAATATATTTGTAAACATCTTTTCACATCTTTATTTTTATAGCATCTTTTAATGGCTGCATGGTATATCTTATTTAAATAATTCCATATTACTGATATCTAGAGCAATGGTATGCATATCTTATCCACATCTTTGTTTTCTTTGGATGAGTTCAAGTGTGGAATTTCTAGGTAAACTATCTTTCATTAATTCAGAATTTCTCATATATCTACAGAAACAAAAGCTATATATTAGAGTATACACATTGGATAATATCTTAGTTGGAAAAAGTTGTCATTTGGGTACATTCAAGATTTTATTGTTGTTTTTATACACCTTTTTAAAACTAAGATGTTAAAGCATTTTCCTTTCATTTCTGTCATATTATTTCTTAAGCTTTAATACTATTTTACAAATATATTTCCAGTTTATCATTTTAAGGTTTTTTTTCTATACAACATACTAGAGATTCATAGTGAAAGGTCCATTAATATTTTCTTTTGTAAGAAAAACTATTCATTTTGTTTTTGTTTGAAAAGCAGACATGCACACACACACACACACACACACAGGGGAAGAGAAACAGATAGGCAGAGGCAGATCTCCCATCCACTGGCTTATTCCCCAAGTGCCAGGACTGGGCCAGGCCGAAGCCACAAACCTGGAACTCAGTCCATATTTCTGATGTATGTGGCAGGGACCCAACCACTTGAACTCTGCCTGCTGCCTTCCAGGATGCACATTGGCAAGAGTGTGTAATTGGGAGCAGAGCCAGGAACTTGAACCCAGGCTCTCTGACGTGGAATGCAGGGGTCCGAAGCGGTGTCTTAACTGTTAGGTCAAACATCCTCCCTTCCATTAATCTTTCCACATTTGGTTTTGCCTGGGGTATAAAAAGGCCTATGTAATAAAGTTTTTATATATTTGGTAGCTACAAAATAAAAACCATCTCCTAGCAGACAGCATTTCTTGTTAGAAGGATGTTGCTTATGTGCCGAATTCCAAAAACTTTTAAGCTGTCTTGGAAAAGAACTGTGTTTCTACACATGTTGAATATCAATTGAGTAAAGGGGTGAAAAGAGCAAGAAGTGAAGGAGAGACTACATTAATGAATTAAACAGTCCTTGGTTCTGGTAATGAAACGGGACATAAGGCAGACGAGGTCTGCTTGCTCATGGAATTTTCGTTCTTGTCGAGAGATAGAGAGTAAATTAGCGCACTTGCCGATTCCTTCAGGAGCTGAGGGAAATAGACAGAGTGCCACAGTGGGCTCTCTTGTCCCCTGGGCATCAGGTACCTTTGGAGAGAAGCAGGTGCTGAATGTGAGAAGGGGGCAGATGCAGGGCGCTAACGCGTGGTTGCCAGGCCTGCGTCCTGTTACAGTCTCTATGCACCAGTGCACCAGGAGCTAAGTACAGAAGTGGAGACTGAACATTTAGAAACTTTCAGTAGTAAATTTCATGTTTGTTAAATCAAGTGGTGCATTTTAAAAATGAGAGATCTGGGCTGGCACCATGGCTCATTAGGCTAATCCTCTACCTGCAGCACCGGTACCCCGGGTTCTAGTCCCGGTTGGGGCACTGGATTCTGTCCTGGTTGCCCCTCTTCCAGTCCAGCTCTCTGTTGTGGCCCTGGAGTGCAGTGGAGGATGGCCCAAGTGCTTGGGCCCTGCACCCGCATGGGAGACCAGGAGGAAGCGCCATTTTGAGGGTGAACCAATGGAAGGAAGATCTTTCTGTCTGTCTCTCTCACTAGCTCTGCCTGTCCAAAAAAAAAAAAAGATCTATTCTCTACCTCTTGTCTTTTTCATTGTTTTGGTAATGGGGTGTTACTGTATTACTGTATATTGTTCAGTTGTCAGTCTGTGTCAGACTAGGGGTGGGCAGGTTGGTCCTGGACCTGATAGTTTGAGAAATGCTGCACATGAGAGTTAACTTTTTCTTTGGTCTTCTCCCTGATCTAAAGTGTATGCAGTAGTAGAAACAGTCTCTAAGAGTACTAACCAGCTAACTGAATGTGATACTGTCATAGCTTAGGGCAGAGCAGTAATGAAGGAAGACAAAAGGAAGTTAATTTGGAGGAGAATGGGTCTTTATTTTTGATAAGAAATAAGGACATGTGTAGCACCAGTTAAGGAGTCAGTTTTCTACCCCTATGTTTTATTGTGTCTGGCCTTACCAGGTTTGCACTGTACATGCTCGAATATGATGTAGAATTTATATGGCCACATTTGGGTATATACTTACATTTTGATTAATATGTATTTTTTAAAGATTAAATGCCATGTGAAAGGTTTTTTTTTTTTTTACCATTATTTAGTGGTTTTGTGTACTTAGCTGTGGAAGTTTGTTGATCTTTGAATGTATTTTTAATAGATGACCTTCTAATATTTCTAAAATATCAAATTATTTTTAAAATTAAAATTATAGTAATCCTCAGTGAATAACCATGATTTGTGCCTACATCCGTTTCATCCTGTAGCAACTGAAACTCTTTAGAATCCCGAATGAGGGTATAGGATAGTTACCTGAGGATATCTTCGCCCAACTTTTTCTCTAGGAAGATATTTTCAACCTTTAAAATATAAGGTGTGATGATTAGTTATTCACAGATGTAGCTGCTGCAATTTAATAATTTTAGGCTTTCATAGTGACAAAAGAAACAGTCTCATAGTCCAGCTGACTCAAAGAAATTTGAGTGAAATGTGTGTGCTTCCATTCAGTGTTAATCCATTTCGTTTAAAGGGAGTTTGTGGTGATCAGCCCTTTGGTTTGCTCAGACCCTGGGTCTGGACTAAAGGTGCTGTGAGATCTTAGAGTACGCACAAGAGTGCAGGGGCTGGAATCAGACTCCTGTGCACGGTTCTGCCACTGATGTCTGTGGGCCTTCGGCAAGGGAGATGGTTTCCTCACCCCTCTTTCCCCTTCTCTTGAGTGTCTTGAGTGTGTGAGATATAGTGGAGAGTGTCTGTGTAAATCACTCTTAGCAACACATGGTACATCCTAAAAAGCACTCGATGGTTGTGTTCATTGTTGTTGTCCTCACTGTGGTGGTAATGTGGCTATTACTGTTTTAGTTATTATTATAATCCAGCTTTCTGGAGTAGCTCCAGATTAGGAAGTGTGACCTAAATGCTCCGTCCCTCCTATTTCCCCAGGAGCAGGGGTTCTTTATGTGTATGTGTGTATGCATATGTATATATGAAACAATTTAATAATTAAATGTGTATGACTAAATATATACATATATAGAAAAATTCTAACACATGTGAAATATTCTAAGAACGCAGTAATGAAATAATGAAATAAAAATAGCAAAAAAAAAAAATAGAGCCAGATCTAACTTAAGTGCTGGCATGGAAGGAAAATTACCATCAACAAAGCACAAGCTTTTTGTACACAACAAAGGAAAAGTACAAGTGATAAATGGAAGCAGGCAGGAGCTTGAAGAAAATATGAGGAGAGGGAAAGCCGTTGCTGGTGACAGAGGTGGCAGATAGTGGGAGTGGCAGCAAGCGCAGAAGAGATTCTAAGTAGGAAAAGCACTCGGCTCTCTGGGGAAGAATGAGGGGTCACCCACGTCCTCCTGCCTTGGTAACACCTGCAGTCACATCCCTACTTCAAGTGCAAGGAGTGGGTGGGAGGAGAGGAGATGACAGCCATTTGCATGCCGGATTCTTCAGCTCAGAGGGTTGGGTTGTGAGTATCCCTAGCGCCCATCCACCAAAGCAGAGTCACTGCAGACGCTCACTGGGTGTTTTTGGTGTGCCATGGGCTATTCTAATTGTGTCACATGTCATCTCATTCAGTCTTTTACAATCCAGGATGACCAAAGGATGAAAACCTGAAAGTCCTGAAGAAGTCATAAAATTGCCAATTTATTTAGTTTGTAGAATGTCAAGGATGACTCAAGGATGGCTGCTCAGAATTAAAGTGGAGAAAGTTGTGTGGCATTACACCCTAAGTCACAGCTCAT